TATATAAAATATGTACTTGTTCAATAAAATAATCGAAAAAAAAAATTTTGATTCAATAATTATTGATTCTTATTTTGATGTTAGCGCTAACATAAACTTAAGACACTTTTGATGCGTAATATAGACCTATCCTGCGCTAATGAAGTAAAAAATTTATTGTTCCAAGAATCGAACTTGAACCGCACCCTCGTCAGACTGATAACTAATGCCCTACGCCGTACGACCATCAAGTTTTTATACATCTCATCATTATTATAAGCTAACCCTATACGATGCTGGAGTGTTACCGCTTATTATTTATACTATTTGTTATTTAATAGGGTAGGGCGGGGCTAGTTGATCACTTTTTGTTTCGATCTTCCATAACTTTAAGACGATGTATTGGATTTAATCAAGTCATATACTGTTAGGTTCGTAATTTAGTCTTCTTTAGTCTAGTGAACGACAACAAATGAGAAATTCGTGTAGACTTTTGCTGATTTCTGTGTTCTCAGAAATAGATTATTTGTTTCACGATATAATACTAACAAGTGTTGTAAAGCACACAAACTCAGGTACCGTAATCAGTCGTGCGCCAACAATAATTAAATAGTCATGTGCGTACATAAATTATGACTAACTACTTTCTGGCACGTATGACTAAATCATTCTGACAGACATTGAATATTCTGTACCTCGTAGAATTGTCATTGTATTGGTATATAATTAGTCATTAGAATTATTTTTGTGTAGCTAGTTATGGACCACCGTGTTCTTCGATACACTCAGAATTGTTCAGCTTCTGCTTAGTTATTATAGTTAGAAGTTTAATCTATAATGTGCTGCGTTTTGCATTGTTCATTTATTTGTCACATTACTGATTATTCCGATGCATCGAAATCAATCGTGTGCACATTTTACGGTAGATTAATAATGTTTATTCAGCTTCTTTAAATGTTTGTTTTCTATTTGAATATTTAATTTACATACTCTAGAAAGCATACTGTTAATTCAGGTAAATTGAATTGATTTTTAAAGTCAATTTTAATTACGATGAATAACGAATGTAGAAATTTGAGAGATTTGTCAATTTATGTTGATGAAATTTTTTGTACTACGTGAGCTTCTTCGAATCTTGAATTATGAAAATTATTTTGAAGTTGATGATGGTATATGCTTTCTGCTTTTCCAAGAGTTAATTTATTAATTCGGGGATTCACTTCTTTAATTAAGAAAACTAAATATTTCAAACGAATCAAATCTTTAAGATAATATTTTTCGTAGATCAACTTCACGAAAAAAAACAACATTTAACTGGTTTCCATGTCGGATGGAACCTAGTTCTATCTATAGTGAAAAAATGTACAGATGGTAACGACTTCTATGTAAATTGTAGTAGGGACACTCTTTGTTGAACTGAGTCCCATCTCGGATTGAACTGAGTTAAATGAAGATTGTCCCCACTACAATCTACATAGAAGTAGTTACCATCTATACATTTTTTCACTGTAAATAGAACTAGGTTCCATCCGACATGGAAACTAGTTAAATGTTGTTTTTTGTTTTATTTTTTTAGTAAGCGAGATTTTAATCTGGTTGAATATGCAGACTCATCAATCGAGCAGATTTTAATAAATGAACTGAAATGTATAAGTTCAGATCATGATAAAGAAAAATGGGCAAGTTTTATGCCAATAAATTTTCGATCAATGTAGCTTCGCGCATTGATTCAAGCAATATGAATGAAACAGCGTAATGCAATAAATTGAGAATAATTGTCTCTTTGTCAAGGTTATGCAATAATATTTATTAGCCATGATTATTCGCAATAATTAAACTCATTTTGCTTGATTAATTACATGCGTAATTTTATATTAACTGTAATGGAGATCAAACATTTACACAACTCAGGTTTTTTGATAAAATTTTCTATAAATATTATAATACTGTATATTTATCGATAAAGTAATGCGCAGAAAGCATGAAATCGTTCATGAAGCTTCATATTATAAATACGATAAGTTAAAAATCATCTTTCACATAAATTTTAAAGACAATCAAACCTTGGTACTGAATGGCATGGTTATTAATTTCTTACTCACTAGATGATATTATTAATATGAAAAGAGCACAATGGTTTTTCATACTTTTATGATCTGAATCTCCTTATCACTTAAACATCGCGTCAATCATGTATAGTGGGTTGTTTTAAAATGCATGAGTTCCTGGTATCTCTTTTTAAAAACATCAATCTCGCTTACAAATTAAGCTCATTATTAAAAATTTTCTTGAGCTTACATAAAAATTGTCTGCTTTAATAAAGCTACTTGAAGCATAAGTTTATCTTTTATTTGATGAAATAATTTTTTAATGTCATCGATATTTAAATCGATTAAAATTTTTTCTTTTTTCAGATAGAAAAATCTGTACTTTATTTCTAATTTGATTAAATATACTGCTACTGACAATCCGTAAAAAAATTTCTGATATAGCCTGATTTACTCAAAAATAATTTACTCCAAGTCGAGAAAGGGTTAATACAACATATTAATTTAAGTACATATGGATAAGAAAAATAAAAAATTCTATTAAATACTTTTTTTATTCTCATACATAGCCTGATAAAACCAAGTATGACCACATTAAGCCATCTATGGTCATATCAAAACATTTCTTTACAGGTCTACTTGTGATGTAAAAAACAGTTTAAGTCTTCAGTTTAATACTTTTTAGATTTAAAAAAAAAAGTTTAATAACATGCAAATAAGTTTTTAAATTTCAATCTCTCCTGTTACTCGGGCGGCCATAAACTGATTAAAAAGTTTATTTTTCATTTTGATGTATCAATATATTGATGTTACACAAATTAATATAATATTGGAAAATAGTTGAAATGAAAATAGTTAGCTAATAGTTTTATGGTTTTTTACGAAATGAATGTTAATCTTAATATATTCAAGAAAAAGCGGAAAAGGAAATATATATTTCTGTATCAAAGAAGAGAAAGTATCTAATTTAAAAAATTCTCACTTTGCTTCTATAGGTCGGCTCAATAGCTACAAGGAAGAAATTGTCGGAGTTAAAAAAGCTTTTTTTTTCCAAGTAACGTCCTCATCTTACTAACTATGTTATTAAAATAGCAACAGAAAATTTGAAAAAAAAAAAAATATTTCAAGAATTTATAGAATATAAGATGAAATATTTTTTAATTTTGGTAAAAGATATACACTTTGTCTTGATATATTCTAAGTTCGATGTTTAGGTTTAACACTAAGAAAGTATGATGTTGATCTCAAAAATTACAGATAAGACAGTACAATCCTTTTTTCAGATCCAGGTCAGAGGTTTCGTATATTGAACGAGAATAAAGCGCAGCAGTCTATTTTTGTGGTATGCCCGGGTGAATGCAATAAAATAATACAAAACTGAAGATAAGAAAGACAAAATATATCATGCATTTTCTTATCAATACTCATTCATGCGTAAGATTCTTGTGTAAATTATTTCTAGGATCAAGAAATTGCTTACAACTTTGTAATAAGTTTTACATGATAAAATCAAACCTTATCTTTTTTTATGCAAAAAAAATTTTGTTTGAAAGTCTTTATAAAGTGTCTTTTAGGACGTTGGTTTCCTTACTAGTATTAACTTATCTAATATTAATCGTATGAATGGAATCTTTCATGATTTTGACAAAAACTCGATGTAATGCAAGTTGTAAATATTTTGCAAAACATTATAATCGAATGATAATAAGTCATATTATACTGTGAAAATAAAACTGATAGTACTGTTGAAAATAAAAAACTCGTCATTAATGAATATTTGTATTTATTCATTTCGACGTTATAATATAAATTGAGTTGATATGACTTTTGCTACTCGTGTGTTAGCACACTTGTTTCGGTTATTGCGCCAACTAGATCGGAGCCGATAGCTCCATTCACTTAATTATTTAAGAAGTTATTACATTGGGTTGTGAATAACAATTTATAAAACGTGTTCCAACTTTATACAATTGATTTACGTCATAGATTACATTTACGCATACACAATAAAAAATTTTGCGTCATTGCGTCAAAAAATTTTGTGTTAAATATTTAACACTTTTTTGTGTTAATTTAACACTTTTCTGTGTAAATTTAACACAATAAATGTTAAATTTACACATAAAAGTGTTAAATATTTAACATAAAAATTTTTAACACAAATTTTTTTGACGCAATGACGCAAAATTTTTTATTGTGTCAAATATAAGCAATCCAAAATCCATAACGTTAGTTAAACAGGCTGTTAATAGATGGTGCATTTGTCGCCTTCCAACATTGTTAAATATCTTTTCAACCGTTAGCGCTGCATTTTATTAATAATAGTTTTTTTTTAACAAAAAATTTTTTTTTATTTTTTGTATATTTTTCGTCAATAGAGAAAAACATAAGCTTTAACATGGTATTTGAATTTTTAATGGTGGTGAAGAATTAAAATAGATTTACCCGTCACAAAAAAACATTTTTGAGAAATACGATTAATGATGATTCGATATTTCATTAAAATATAATCGTTTTTGCTTTATTTATCTACACAATTAATACTATTAACATTAATACTATTCATTCCACACAAACAACGATGTAAACTCGCTGAAAGTGATCATTTAAATTTAATATTGCACGTATATTTTTCGAATAATTAATGATATCCTTCATCCATTGAATTATTCAATGTAATTAATTATTAACAACCAAAATGTACTAACATTACTAACAAAACTAACACAACCTTTCATTTTTTAATTTTCAGATGTGCCAATAATGCGACTAATGATGGTTGACATGGTCTAGAAATTATCATCAGTGTTCGTAGAATGTACATGGTAGTGACGAAAAATGAAGACAGTAAAATGCTTAAATAACTAATTTGGAAATCATCACTGTTCTCAAGAATCGAAAATTAAAAAGATTAAAAATATTGTTCACATATGGATGATATAAATTGTACCGCGAACATGTTAATTGCCGAAAATGCGAAGAGCAGGCAATGGATTGAAACTGGACTTGACAGAACACACACCAGGTAGCTCATCATCACGGTTACCTAATTTGGTGGAACATGCGGAGAGTAGCACCTGTCAGGGAATTACCGGTATAGCCGGTGAAAATTTGAACAGTAAACTGCCAAACGTCGTTGAAGGCTCCATGGACTATGGTAACGAGCGGCGGTCTTCCCGTTACCTGGATTATGATCCCAAGTGCTTCCAAGAGAGTCAAACAGCTGGAGGTTACATTGACAGTGGTGGTGGAGCCGCGACTACCAATGATGTCAGCTACGGTGATAGAAGTTATTTAGCTCGGAGTTACGACAGAAATTTATCGGACGCAGGTTATGATAGGGATAATGTAGATCGATACAATAGTAGACTTTATCCAGATGAAAGTGTAAGATATGACAGAACAGCAGATCGGTCTTATCAGGAGTCTGATCTGGACGCTCCTTACGAAAAAAAGGATAACCAAAAGCTTAGAATTTACAATCAGGATTCTCACGATATTGGAAGAAGGTATTCTCGAGATCTGGGGAATTACGAATACTCGACTCGATATGCTGAAGAAACCCTTAAGCTCGAGCCGAAAAAAGACCATTGTCATCTTACTGATAAAATATATGAGCCGGTGAATAAAGTTTACGGCAGCATAGGAAAAAGTGGATACGAATCGGGGGTAAAAACTCGGGAATCATCTTATGAGCTCGGTACTTGCAGTAATTCGGAAATAGTTGGCAGACTCAAATACGAGAGTAAATATGATTCTAGTGCTAAAGTTTATGGTACTCTACCTAGATATGAATCATCCGGGAAAAGTTATGATGGCTACGATACAGCCGGAAGGTCTTATGAATCAAAGTATGATGATGGAACTTATGATTCCGGAACCAAGGGGTTTCAATCTTCAACGTCTAAGTATGAACTTAGCACTTGCAAAAGCTATATTCACGAGAGATCAAAGTACGAGCCTGTTGCTCGGTATCAAGATACATCCGTTAAATCCTATGATCAGACTTTGAAAATAAGTGAATTGGGCACCAGTTCGAATGTGTATCAAAGGAAACAGAATTCCGAATCTACCGCTGCTGTAACGTCAACCTCGGAGAAAATCAATGGATATAAGAAAAATAACTTTGAGGCATATGGAGTCTACTCTGATCCAGAGGATGATCACGGGTTTATTTCTGAAAAGAAAACAACTCCCTATACGTACAAAGGAGTTGTGGTAAATGCTACCGGAGAATCCAGCGTGGTGGATCAAAAAAAGGCTAAAGATCCCCAACAAACAACAGTTACCTCGAGTCCTTGGTGTAGACCCACCATTTTACTGCTTCTTCTTGTACTTCTTATTGTAATTTTCGTTCTCATTGCTGGGATATTGTTGTATTTTAATTGTAAGTATAATAATACTTTCTTTCTTATTTCACAATGTTAATAATTCTTTTTTTTTTTTTGTTCAAATTGTAAATTCAAATTATCAAGGTGTAAGTTGTCGATAGTAATTTATCTTGTAGTAATGACTTCCGATAGTAATAACTCAGGGTTGTGTCTTTGACATAGAACAATGAAATAGCAAAAAATTAAAGAATAAAAAATAAAGAAAGAGTCAAGAAGTTACCTCGATGTCGGTAGCACGTGTTGGTGATACGTTAGTGGGGCGTAACTGTCTCCCCTGCAGTTTTATGTGTCGAATTTGACATGCCTGGCACGTAGAGACTTGCCACTAGCGAAACTGTTTGGTCGGAATTACAATGTGTTCCGTAATGAGAGCAATGAGGACACAGTATCCAAAACGATACTCTACGGATAAAGGAAAGGGAGCATTAGTAAAGAAAGAAAAATGTTGATTTCAGAACGCTTTTATTTTGTTTTGTCAAAGTCACGTCAATTTATTTTTACAGAGATCACTATTCTTGTTTTATGATTTTTTTATTGGCATACATTTTGTCGCATAACTCTTCAAGTTTTTCATACTTTTAATATTCTGTTCTGTAATGTTGATCACTTTGCAACAATTTAGCGAATTAATAATAATAATAAACAATTAGCGTCATGATGCGTCAAATAAAAGAAAAAATTATGGAAAAATATATTAAAAAATCGAAGATGTTTGAATCTTATTGCTATTTCAATAAATTCAAAGTATCATTAATAAGATCAATTAGTTACTATTCTTTCGATAAAATAGTAACTAACAACGTTTAAGGATTTTTTTTTTACATATTATAAATTTTTGTAATTGTTTATTAGCAAACAAACAATGCTAAAAGTACTGAATAATAAACTATCTATGTCTTTCGACGATTACTTAGTAATACACATATAATATAAATATACCGAAGTTGCAGTAACCTTTCCAGTTTCAGTTCACAGTTTTAGCAGTGATTACAGGTAATTTTATTGCATCCTTTTTGCTTTTAAGAAAGACTTTCTAGTTGAAGCTACTATTTTTTTTTTCCCTACAAACTTCTTTACTCTTAACCGAAATCTACTATGATCGAAAAACGTTCTTAAGATTTTACTTAAAAGTATAAAGAAAGAGTACGCGGTGAGTAGGAAAGAAAATAAGATAGAGAAGTGAAAGAAAGAGCGAAAAATAATAAGAAAAAGTAAGATGAGGTGAGAGAAAAAAAAGTAAAAAGGAGAGTTTCTAGGATTTATCGGTGTTAGACTTATTAACTTTCAAGTAAAGTTAACATTAATCTTGGGTAAACTTCGACAGATGAGTGTAGCCAGCTTCAAATCATACGATCAACATTTTATCCTATCCTTCACTTCTTTAGGATTTCACTTTATTTTTATCATAAAAACTTTCCTTTGATTTACTTTTTATATCTTTATACAGCTAATAGATTGGTCGAAAAGAAAATTATCAATTTATCTTAAGTAAAAAAGACTCCTGCTTATGCAGATATTTAAATTAATTCAAACATAATGTTTCATAATTAAGCCTAGGCTCTTTGAGACAATTAAATTTATATTTTCAACATAATACTTACCTACGAGCTAGTTGCTTGCCGTCCACTTCGCGTGATGTAAATTGGAATTAAGTTATAATTGGATTTAATAATATGGTTGAAATTATTTTTTCAACTCTAAAGCTTTAGCTCGCAATTATCTTTTTGGAGATTTTGATGAACTTTTAGAATTCTTATTAAAGCTACGTGAAATGTATTGATTATAAGAGAATCTTTTTGAATGGCAAATAAAGATGAAGACATTAAATTTATTGTGCATCTATTTTGTTATCGGTATGTAACTTGTCTACGGAAATTAAGGGACTATCAAATTTTATTCTTAATTTCATAAATATTTTTAACTACTTATAAAAAAAAAAAAAAAAAAAAATGTAGTTTTAGTTAAGTAATTCGTACGACGTTTAGCAGGTGGTGAAAGGTATCTTCGACTTTTCGCTTGTTAAATTAATCGGTAAATGTAATAGGTTAGTTGCTACTCAAAATTAAGCAATAATAGTGAAATTGCTTCCTTTTATGTTTCTAAATGAAACTTTCAACAAGTATTACTCTTTTTGATCGCAAAAATGTTTGAAATTAGATTAATCAGCAAATTATATTTATTAATGTTTACTTAGGCTAAAAATAATTTGTTCGAGTCACAGTTTGTTCCTTCTCTATAATACATCGTAAGAAATTGTGGCATAAAACAATTTCGATAAATACATTTCACCTTTATAAAATTGATAAAATTTTTCAAAGACTTTGATCTAAGTAGCCGTAAAAATAGAAGATATACCATAGCATTACAGAAATTTTTAGAAGCGTCAACTAGTGGAAAGTTTAAAAGAAATTTTCAATAAAGACTTAAAAATATGTTTTATGAAACAAATATTTCGAAGCTGATTCGGTATAGATAGACATTTGTTTTTTTACATAGCAGGCTTTATTCTAGTGATAATAGGCGTCTTTATCCGTGGACAAAATATCATCGGTCTAAATATCTTCCAGATTAGTGCTGAGAAACAAAACTATACATCTCTGATTATTTCGTTCTATACAAAAGTGTTCATTTTTATTTGACAAATAAAGAGAGAACTATCTTCAGGCAATCTAGTAAATTACATTGAGTTATTTAATTGATCTGTTTTTCTGCTCTTACTTTTCTGTAACAGATTCTTCATTTGTACAAAACATTCTCATCTCTATTTTCTTGAAAAGAGGATAGTCACTAGCTTAAGGGGTTTTAAAAGCAAAGCCCACTCTCTTAAAAAAATTGTTAGCAAATTTAAAAAAACATTTTGTCTCAGAGATAATAAGTAATAGAACGCTTATAGCATACATAAGTAATATTTATCAAACGTTTTTCCTTCTACTTAAAGATTTTGATTGATAAGGAGAAAATTGTTTTGCTTTCTGTAAAAAAAGTATTGACTATCAAAAAATATTTTTTCATCATTCAATATGTTTTAAAATAATAATATAATACGTCGTTAATAAGTATCAATAAATGGATATAGATCTACGTTGATCAATTCAATTTTTAATAAATTTCATGACCGAGGAATACAAATGCACATAAATTTATGCATAGCAAGTTTATTTTTTGTCTCGTAGTTAAAAAAGTCAGGTTGACTCAACATTTGTTTCTATTGTTCGATAAGAAAAAACAAACGAGCAAGAAAAAAAATAAAAGTGCAGGCATAGTCGGAGACGAGTTACGTACTTGAAAGAGGTGCGAAGAACTGGTGCTTGCAATTACAGCTGTACCTGAGAATCCAATTTTACACAAGACTCATTTATATGGTATGCTTGGGTTCCTTTTCCTCGTTTTCTTCGTCTGCCAACAATTTTTTTATACGGTATTTCCTTCTGTTAAAGAAGAGATATTTGCATAATTTGTCTTGGCAAAAAATTTCATAATACTTGTCCCATATTTCAAATATGTCTAAACATTGTTGACTATCGTTAGCGTTTCCGCTCTTCGTTTCACAAATTGTGCATCTGAAAAAAATAAAAAAGATTAAATGTCTTGAGCTTAAAAATAAAAAACTTGTTAGACAAATTTTTGTTGAATAGATGATTGTAGAAATAATATAAGATCTAGAGCTTCTTCAATTTTTCAGTAACAGTTATTATAGTTCTGAGGTCAACAAGAACAATAAGATAAAATGTAAGCGGGTGTTTGGCAGACAAGCAGTTGGCAATAGTATGAGTGCTGTTGCAGGTTGAAAATGAGGATGAAATGGAGAATAACACAGAAAACGTTCATAAAGGCAGATTCTCAAACACGTGCCTTACATACTAAATTTCCGTATTCGATTAAACCCGAGATCTGTTTTAAAGCCAGAACTAGTGACATTTACGAACGTGAACCGGAAAATCTTCAACTATAATATAAAAAAAATATTCCCTTATCTTCTCCTTTGTTATAAACGCTCAAGTGTTAAAACTATTTTACGTAAGAACGAGTTAATTATAGTGACAGTGATGACTTATGAATACCGATTTTTAAGTTAGGCATTAGATGTTCACAAAATACTTTTCCAATTTAATTACTTTTATAACAGACTTGATATATTTTATTTTATCATCATTAAACCCCAAATAAGTTGTCCATTATATCGTTTAACGAATGATAAATAAATTTTTTTCGTTTTTATTAATCAAAAATTATTAAAGTAAATGAAGGTGTAAAAAATTAATAAAACTATTTCTATAATCGGTAAGTATCAACTGATTTTACCATGATAGTTGTAACCCTTAGAAAATTACAAACCATCTGGTTTGATGTGTATTAATACTCTAGTAAAATTTAGATAAAAACTCTAATTAAAAGTGTGTTTTTCTATCCATCCGTTCTAATACTAAAAAAAATTATTGATAATTAATTATAACTGAATTAATGAACTGAAATTTTGTATAAAACGTAAATTGGATTATTTTCCTTATTTAGTAACCTTTGAAAGTCTAATTGATAAAATCTAAAATAGTAATAAATGCACAAATAACTTTTTAAAAATGCCTAGCTAGTTTTAAAACGTAGAAAATTATACTGTGTTTTTCCTAATTGATAAATATTAAGTAAATACAATAACAAAAAATATATATATTTAAATTTAATGCACGTATACATTTGAGTATTATTTAAAATTAATAAATTTGTTTACAAATTTTATTCAACAACATGTATGAAATTAACTTCAACAAAAAATTTTCAGTGTCTACTTTGAAAATAACTCGGAAATTATATGAGAACAATTGTTGTAAATAAAAGGTTTAAATAATAAATTCACGAAGACAAAATGAATACTGAATCTGTAAATGATTTTATACTTTTGTGATTTTATGATTACAACCGATTCTGCTGAAAATACAAATATAAAGTGAGAGATTGTAGAAATAATAAAATATTGAGACGGTCCTTCGTGATGTTAAAGCACAAATTCACTGTCGAAAGTTTTCTCATATTTCGCTCACTTTTTTCGTTCTGAGAAACTTTAGTCGAAATGTATTGAAGAAAATCAATCACCCTTAAGCAATATATAGCTCCCCTATTTTGATCGCTGTTTTTCTTGTTCATTTCCCTCTTTATCAGTTAAATAATAAATTTTCTGTCAAACGTCACTTTGTTTGACCTCATCATCAAGAAAATTGAATGATAGTTCACATTAAATGATTAGTTTTAAACTAATAAAATGTGTAAAAGTCAATTTGTGACCATAAAGAGTTGATGGTGTCTA